CACGCTATATGCCATCTTTCTGCGTGTAAGAACCTCCATCTGCCACACAATCTTTCCACCGGCCCCGGGAAGCCACCTGACTGGAACGATTTACAGGCGCCAAGATCCTTCACATCGAGTCTGAAGCTTCATAGAGGGAAAAAGCCGCCGGAAAATTCAGCTGTCAGGGAAGTAAATCATAATGAATCAGGCAATGAAAACGGAATCGGCAGTAATGCCATATTGAATTTCTGTCTCAAGGTCTTGAAAAAGGATGGATGAGGAATTCACTTTTTTATGGGTAGTTAAATTTAATCAAGGCCTTTTTCAGGTTTAGGACACACGGTGAGCACGTGTTGCTCGTCTCGGCCAATAGAGGGCTCTCTAACGGCGTCGAGTGCGCACACGTAAGCACAGACAGATGGAAAAGTTACTTTATTGATCCCTGAAGGGAAATTCAGTGCAAAACGGCAGGAACATCAAATAAAGTGTGCATAAATACACAACTTTCAGCAAACAGCACTAAACATTACATAGAGTGCAGCCAATTGTATCATACAGGGCCATATTTAAGTCTCTCAGCATCCATTAGCGCCTTCCTTAATGGTTAACGAAATTAACTGAGCTGAAGGTTATGGCTTAATATAAATTAGTATACAATATTCTATATTCGATTTCCCAAATGAACTTCCAATGCAAACATAAACAATACAGTAGCATGGTAACACTTTGGTAGCCTACTTTATGTACAGGCCCATGGTTCTGAATGAATAATGTTTATATCACTACCTTGGTACATAGGCCTATTTCACGAAATACCATGGTTCCAGCATGGAACGTTTTGTGTGAACTGTCTATAACTAGCCTTATTTTGAAGAGATACTATTTTTGGATTTAACCTCTGACTTAAATTTTTTTTTATAGCGTCATATTCTATATTCGATTTCCCAAATTAACTTCCAATGCAAACATAAACAATACAGTAGCATGGTAACACTTTGGTAGCCTACTTTATGTATAGGCCCATGGTTCTGAATGAATAATGTTTATATAGCTACCGTGGTACATAGGCCTACTTCACGAAATACCATGGTTCCAGCATGGAACGTTTTGTGTGAACTGTCTATAACTAGCCTTATTTTGAAGAGATACTATTTTTGGATTTAACCTCTGACTTAAATTTTTTTTTATAGCGTCACGATCTGCTGTTGTGCAAAACGGTGTTGTTTAACAATCCAGTCACACTTAAAGTAATCCAGTCGCACATGTGTCTGTCTGCTCTGGCCTGTTACTCATCACTCACACGGTTGCCAGTGAAGGTTGTTTCTCTGCACGGATCTCATTACTCGATCTCTCTCTTTTTCATTTCCCTGTCTCTCTCTCTCAATTCCATCTTGTGTACAGCTGCCTCAGCTTTAAGTCTGACTCTTGATTCATCCCATGAGTCTTTGGGGCAGTGGCTGCTCTCTTCCCAGACATGCATATTTGCATAACCATAAATCACTCACCAAATGTGTAGACAATGAGGCTCTGGGTCTCGGCCTCTTTGTTTCTGTACAGCTACAGGTTTCAGTCAAAATAAAGAGATGAATCTTATAAAACATAACTTAAAGAACACGTCCAAATCATATTTCACCCCCACCCCCACATCAAAAGAAAGACATATAAAATAATATTTTGCCCAAAGAAAATATGTGACAATTAAGCATATCCCTCCTAATTCTTTATAATATTATATTAATGTAAAACAAAGTAATTTTATATAAATTTTTTATATGATTTTTTTGCATTGTGACATTATTTTTATGACAATTAATCATATCCCTCTTCCCATTTTCATTACCATAACGCAAAGAAATCTCATTCTCTGTAGTAGTAATGATATTATTTAAACAATGTTATAATAATAATGTAAAATAAAAAGTAATCATTTATATTTGCTTATTTCTTGCATTATTTAATGACAATTAAGCATATCCCTCCTCCCATTTTCATTACTGTAATGCAAAGTCTCTGTAAATAGGAATTATATTTTATTATTTAAATAATATTCCGATATGAATATAAAATATAAATTGACATTTTATAATTTATAATTTTTTTTTTTGCTCTGTGGCATTAACTTTCAACACAGTTAAGCACATCCTTCCTCCCATTCTCATTACTGTAATGCAAAAAGATGAAAAAATAAATAAATAATACAAATTTCAATCTCATTCTCTGTAATAGGAACTGTATTATATTATTCAAATAATATTAAATATGCACAATGCAAAAAATAATATTCTCTAAAATACAATTGATATATTTATTTTTAGTTTTTTGTTATATAATCAAATATTAAGTATAATATATTTGACATTATATTATATTATTAATGTTTATAATATAATATAATATATATTTGACACATATTATTAATGTAAAATGTAATTTTTTATATTTAAATCTTAAAAAAATGAAAGAAATAAAATATAAAAACTTAAAAGTAAAACATCTAGACCGTTTATGGTAGTGAGAATTGGGGCTTAATCGTTTATAAAAAATAATGCAAAAGATCTTAATGGTCCTTAACTAGGTTTAATTTTCTCTTCCCTCACGTGGAAATTGACCTGGAGATGACATCTGGATATCCAGTACATGTAACGACCTGTTTGGAGTCTCTTGGGCCCTGCACAAGAATGCTGGCGGACAGCATTTAGAAACATCTCTCAAATTTACAGCCCCATAATCCCATATAGAGATCTGGGTTTGACATCTCGTGTTTGATTGAACACTTCATATTTTGCTTCCCCACACAGGGTGACAGAAATAGGATCATTTATTGTACGTCCCCTGACAGGAATAAACTACACCGTGTCCCACTCCGGGGAGATGGATGCGACTCTGTTACACTTTCTCAGGTGACTTGAACTGTTGACAGATAACACACTCGACAGAGTTGAATCTGTCAGAAAAGTGAAAGTTGTTTGAGTTCTGCTGAATGCTGACTGTGCTGCATAACACAAAATATAAAAACATAAATAAATCTAATTAAAATAGCATAAACAGTAGGGGTGCCATGGTATCACAGGGTAATATCATGGTACTTTCATATAAAACATGGTACAGATAGATAGATAGATAGATAGATAGTTATTTTTGTATTTATTTACAGAAAGCACTATGGTACTTTGACATATACTATGGTCATTCATGATTGTGGCTCTTTTGTGTGTAGAGAGATGTTCAATTCAATTGTAAGTTGATGATAAGATAGATGTTCAATTGTAAGTGTTCAATTACAAAAAGTACTATGGTACTTTCATATCATAGTACCATTTTCATTACTATGGTATTTATATTATTCCAAGGCACTTAAAATATTATGGTGGTACACATCATGAAAATACATGGTATTGTCATTGTACATGTCTAAACAACATAGTATCAGCATGATACCATGGCAAAATAAGCAAAACATAGTAATACCATGGTACTTTTATAAGTGCCAGACTAGCTTTAAAAGTAATCATTGAATTTGGAAGATATGCTCTTTTCACTAATCTACACTAGATTAAAAGCACTTTAAGATCGAGCTCTCTCCTCCATCAGGTCTTCGCTGGTTCTGTGGTTTAAAGCTCTTAGCGCGGGGAAGGGGAGGAGACACACACACACACACACATCCATCAGCTCCGTTCCTCCGTTCTCGAGTAACCGAGCAGGAGGCGGCGAGCGCGATCAGACCTCCAGGTGTGTGTAGATGTACGTGTGCGTGTTCCAATGACACCTGGCTGGATGCATCATGTGATCAGATACCTGGGCGTGGAGCTAGAGTTCAGTGTGTTATTCGGGAACGGGAATCCCGGAACCGCAGATCTCTGTCTCTCCGCGTGTGAGTGACATGTGAACTTTCCGTGCACCGGGAATCTATTCTTCACACACACACACACACACACACACACACATCCATCAGCTCCGTTCCTCCGTTCTCGAGTAACCGGGCAGGAGGAGGCGAGCGCGATCAGACCTCCAGGTGTGTGTAGATGTACGTGTGTGTTCCAGTCACACCTGGATGCATCATGTGATCAGATACCTGGGCGTGGAGCTAGCGTTCAGTGTGTTAGTCGGTAACGGGAATCTCGGAACCGCAGATCTCTTGTCGCTCCGCGCGTGAGTGACATGTGAACTTTCCGTGCACCGGGAATCTATTCCTCTCAATCTAAAGGGAATCCGTGGTCTGGACGCTGCAACCGCTGCCAAGGTGAGAGTCTGTGTTTATGTGTTTGACGTGGAATATTGTGCGTTGTACCTTCCAGCAGTTCGCGGTTGTGTTCGGTTTCAGACGGGACGCGTATCCCGGACTGAGACGCATGTTGCATGTGAGATGATGTACCGACTGGGCTCATGTGTTGTCGGTAGCCGTTTTAACATTCGTTACTTGAAACTTATCGTTATTTATGTCCTTAGTAGCTTACTTTTATTTAATTTTAGTAGGTATATTATAATTTCACTAGTAAGTATTCAACAGACTCTAGTATGCAGTGTACGAACTAGTGTGTGACTTTTAGGAGGGTCTACCGTTTTCGGGATGCAATCGGTTGAGGTTCGTCTCGCGCAATAACGCCAATGTCGTGTGGCGCCCCTGGCACTAACCGTCAGCTATCTTGAAGACGTTTTGTGTTTGTAAATCTATGTTAAACTGATTAGCAATGACTAGTACTTAAGTGCTAGACTAGTACTAGCTACTTTGTCTATATACTGTCCGATAATGATAACGGAAAGTGCTCGAGCGGCGTTTTGTTGCTATAGGAACGTCAAGTGTAAGCGACTTCGCGGGCATCCGTTTGGCACCCTGACTAACTTTTAGGTTAATCTTTCTTTTGTGGTACTGAAATGTTATTTAAACCTATATATACTTGTATGAAAAATGAATACTTAGTTTTAAGACACCTAACTTTTGTTTTGACTTATTTTGAGGGATGCAGACAACCCAAACTACCAATATTCGCGCCCAGTTAGTAGCCTGTGTATTCATAGTAAGTTAAGTTGGACTACTCTTAATTTTATGGTTCCTGAAACGTTTACAAAAGCTGTTAAAACGTACATGTACTTATATTTTTTAAGACCGTCAACCTTTTGTTTTGACTTAGCCTATTTTGAGGTTTTCAGAACCCAAACCCACATAAATCGCACACTGCTAGTTTGTATTCCTGCAATAATAATGACTATCAGTTAGTCTTTTTGCTACTCCAGTCACTATCCCAGTAGTGGTGAGTAACTGTTCCATTGTTGCCGCCAACAATTTATAGTTTTTGCCTTTAAGTAACCGTTTCAAATTTAGTAGTAATATTAACTATAAAGTATTTCTTATATGTCCGATTCTTGTGTGTCCCGAATACCATGGTGATAAATTGGCAGCTGTTTTGAGGTAAGTTATGTACTTCCAAAACAGCCTACTTAGCTAGTCTTTTCCCCAAATATTTGTAGTGAAATTTAGTCAAACATTATGCCAAATGAAGCATTTTTTTGTGTCTCAATTGCCATTTAATTTAATTATTTATGCTATAATCCCATATGTGTAGACTACTAGTTATGACCTTGATTTGTCTTAATGGACATGATGGATTTTTAATGGGTTGGATCTGGCTAATAGTGTTTCTTTGTCTTTGCTCTGCTCTTCTAAGTCCACAGTGTTGTGTTTCACAACCACTAGTTGTCTGTTCTGTTTGTATCAGGTTAAACTGTGCTTGTCTAACATCAGAGGACTCCGTTTTCTCTGCTTTTCCCCACATTATTCACTTGCATCGCATGTGCGCTTGAGTACAGAGTACAACAGGTCCGGATGAGCTCTTTCTGTGTCTTTAACTGTGTAAACCCTGCTGTTTGTCTCGGCACACTGGCTCCTTTCAGCCGGGGCTCTGAAGTTGTGCGTCTCTCACATTGTACCGCCTTGTTCTGCCTCTAAATTGCGTCTTTATTGGGCTCTTCTGTATTTCTATGCAGTGAAAGGGAGGAGACATCCTGGGGGATTATCCTCATTAAATGCTTTAAACAAACGTGCCAGATTAGCCGGGATCGTTCTCCATGTGGGGGCAACGGAGCCGAGGGTGGGTGCGGTGTGGTGAAAAGAACAACCCCAACAGCGAAAGGCAGCGTTTTCATAAATACACACCATCTGCACACACATACACACACTTCACGTAGCCGGCGTGAAATCAGGTCCTGCTCCTGCCTACAGCTCTCGGGCTTATCTACCGTCCTGCGAGCATTTAGAATAGAGCGACTGTCCCTTATCTGAGCCTCGAAACGCGTGATGAATGTCCTCTCCACACGGAGCTGAATGATTTCATTCACCTTCCGAATGTCCCTGTGTTTTACGCTCAGAAATCATCAATTACCCGCAATCACCTCTAGGGCTGTCAGGGAAAGCACTTGGCCGGAGCACTTGTGTTTATCAAAAGCTAAATAAAGAAGTAGCATTTGTCTGATGTTAGCCTGGAGGAAAACAGGATGGTGATGTTTAATGTCATACATTCACCTTTTTCTTCTGCGGTGGCACCCGTGACTTCCTTTTTTCTGAGGGGCCTGGTTTTCCATCAACGACAAATTATTCAGAATAGTTTGCCAAAGAAGAAATGGCACCGTACTTCCTTTTTTCCCCCTGTGGTTTGGCCGATTAAAGGCCTTTTAAGCATGTGGTCATGTTGCCAGCTTGAGTCTGGGCGTCTTTGGTCATTTTTGTTGCCTTCAACATGTCAGGCTGCTCTGCACTTAAAGTAATGCATGTTGATATTGGAGATTCTTGGAAAAGTTGGATGCTTTTTCTTGTACCGGTGTGTTGAGTCTGGCTGCTCTGAAATGGCCTTCTTGCATGGATATTATGAAAAACTTTGGCAAGTGTTTCTTAACCCAGTCCTGATGTTTCAGTCCGGAGAGCGACATTGAAGCCTCTACTTTAGATTCTTCTCATAGTTTTCAATTTAACAGTGCATGCTCTAATAAATAGGTAAAGTAGATGTGATGGAATAAATTGTGACTCTTTCAGGTTTTCTGACCAACCAAGTGACAGACATGTTGTTAAGTGTAAACCTGAATGCTTTGTTTTGCCCACAGCTAAATCTCATTGGACACTCCCACTCCACATTTATGTGTGATTTACCAAGGTGTTTTTTTTATAATTTTTTTTTATAAAGTCATTAAATCATAAAACACAGAATCCAGAAAAATTAAAATAGACAACACCAAATAAATAAAGACACTAGTAGGACATTATTATTGTTAATTTCATTTTATAAATGATTAAATTAAATTCCGTTTTGTTAATTGAAATTTAATTAAACTATTAAAATGGAACGATTATAATAGAAAACATGGACTTTGAGAAAAAATAAAATGGATTCCATAGAGTCCTGTTTCTATTATACATGCAATATGTTTGATTAGGAATGCACAATATATCGGTACCATATCGGTTATCGGCAAATATTGTTTTTTTATTTCAGTATAGATATTTTATGTTTAATTGTGCATGCTTATTTCCTCAATTTTTACATGTTAAAATTACAAATAATTTAATAACATTGCTAAATGTAATATTTCATATCTAAAAATGAGTATCCATTTTTCATATTGTACTTTATAATGTTGGGATGCCAGTTAGTGTTTTGTTAAAAAAAAAAAATTATTTACAAAATTTTAAATAATAAGAAATAATTCTGTACATTTTTACTTTTTTTGTCTAATGTTTCTATAGCACATTTCACAATATATAGCACATTTTTAAAATTTTATTTATTTATTTATTGGTATCTGCCATTATTTTTAAAGCAGATTTCAGAACAATTTTAATATCATAATTTATAAAGTAATAGTGTAGTTATAATTATAGTGTAATTTTCATATCATACTTTATAATGTTGGAGTGCTAGTTATAGTGTTATGTTTTTAATTTATTTAGACAAAATAATATAAAATGTTATTAAAAATCAGTTTATTTTTTATTACATTTTTGTAATATTTCTGCAGCATATTTTGATGCAGCATACAAGCTTTTTAAACATTTATTAATTGTAATCATTATTTTTATAGCAAATTTCAAAACAAATTTTTATGTGTAAAACGAGTATTTATGTATATTTCTGTGTAATTAATTTTTTTTTTAAACAAAGTAGAATAGATTTATAGCATGCAAATAATTATTGGCTTATATGTATCGACCATAATAGTAGTTTTTAATTTTCACTTTACGCTGTCAGCAGCTCATTGTCTTTAAGCATGTGAGTCAGTCCTAAGAGGTCTCATCTTTGGTTTAATCTGGCTATTATGCCATCTTGATGACGTGTGAAGTCGAGTGAGTAGTTTTAAGTCCCCCAATCCCCCTGAGGGCTGAGATACATCAGATTACAACAGCATCATGGGAAATGATGGGCATAAGGTGAGATCGCATTCATTCTCATGCTTGCTAATCAACAGCTGGCCACAGATCTGTGCCGTCTGGGGATCTTTATGTAGCATACGGCCTTATCGTCGCTCCAGCGCCATACACCCCTGTACACTGACTACACCAAGAAAGTCTTCTTCCCCATTCTTGTTCTTTCACTTCCTCCATCTTTTTCCCTCTCTTTTTCATACCATCTGCTGATGGGCACAAAACCATTTCCTCAGCTTCGTTCTGGTCACGCAGATGGATTCTGGGTAAAAAAAAAAAGTCAGTGTTCTAGGGAAAATAAGACACTGGAATGTGTGGGAGGGACTCTTGCACATGCACAAAAAACCTTCGCCCGCAGGAGAACAAGATCTCCGGCTTTTGCTTCAAAGAGTCTCGTTACAAGCATAACATGCTGTCAGCGCGGGCTGAAACTGTGGCGTAACATTACAGCCAGTGCTTTCCCCCTCAAGACAGAGCGATGGCATCCGTGTCAAACCCACAGAAATGCTCTACTGTATGGATAGAGATTTGGCCTGAACCCAGGCGGGCGCTCCCTCTGGAGCAAATGGGGCAAGCGGGGATTAAACCTGGTTCGTGAATAAAAGGAGAGCCTCCATTGACAGCCTTAATTAGTCTAAGACTTGCCTCATTCTGGGAAACTGCCAGGTCCTTGACTATTATAGTGGAAAATCCAGTCGGCTTCCACTTGAACGGCACCAATTCAAAGACCTTTTGTTAGATTAGACAGCAAGTTTTCAGGCACGAGCTGTTACTTTCTGTGTTTGAAACTTTGGTTGAATGGCGTAAATCAAGAGTTCAAAACTTAAATGAGG